AATATTTAATAACTCAAATTAACATGTAATAATTTAATATAATATTTAAAAATTTAATTCAGCAAGTAATAATTTAATTTAGTATTTATCAATTTAATGTAACATTTACTATTCACAATTTACATACTTATTATTTCAAGCATAACATTTAATGTTCAATGTTTCAAATCATCTGTGTAGCTTCTTCTCCCATTTTTTTCCTAAGAACACGTTCATATACTAATTCAACATCCCATACACTATAATTACGTCTGAAGTCAAGAAAATTGTGCAAATGATTCATCATTGATTCAAAGTCCGATTTCATTTGTGAACAAATTTTATCAGATAATCAGACGCTGTTTTTAAAACAGCTACACGAAGAAATGCGCATTAATATTTAAATTATCTGTGGAATACAGAAAGTTTAAATTGAAAAATTTGATAGTTGTATACTTAACAATTTTTATTAACTTTGTCTCACATTTTTAGGTAGATTTATCATGAAACATGTTTGTATTTATTGTCTGAGGATTAATTTTATTTATTTTAATTACTTTTGCAATTTTTGTATTAAGAGATCCATCATGACAATTAATAATTAATATTAAAAATTCTACTATGTTATTTATACATTTTTGCTGTATTAAAAATAGCTTTGAATTATAACTATTAAATTTAAGAATTTATTTATACAATTAATCAGTAATAGTGCAAATAAAAATAACAAATTAATATAAACTAAAAAAAATAACAAGCTAATAGCAAATTAATACAAACTAAAATAGTAAAAATACTAATATAAATATAAGTAATGAAAATATTAATACAAATACGAATAATAATAAAAGTAATAAATGTATCGATACAAACAAAAATAATAAAAGAATGAATACAACAAGAAATTAAAATAAGGACATTAAAACACAAGAATCAATAAAAATACAAAAAAGGTTTAACACGTTATTAAAACATTCATAACACTTAATATTATTGCAATCGTAATTAACATTACAATCACTGCGATTGTGTAACTAATACTATAATTACTATAATTGTAACAAACGCCATAATTGCTACAATTATACCGCGTTTATATTAAACCACAAAAAATGAGTATCGCAAATATCTCCTAAACTACTAATCAAACTTATTGAATAAAAACACCCTATAAGAAATAAAAACAATTTACCAAATTGCTATTTTCTTTTTATACTCTAATCTCCCACAAAAATTTTTCACGAAATTCTCATAAAATAAGTGTTTAAAATATAGTTCCGACGAAACGTAATAAAATGGCGACGTTCGACCGCGGAGATTTCAATGCCGGCAACGGTCAGAAATTTATCGGGTTTTAATAAGTACAAATTGCAGTCGCTGGTTGCATAACCGCCTTGCTTCGATGCATCCAGCGTCGGATGTACGCTATTTTGTAATCATGAGCAGAGCAATGTTTATAGCGATTCTGAATGGAGAAGGGGAGGGGATCTTGCACGGATCTCGCGCGATACACGCTTATTAAGCTGCTCGTTTCGTAATACTCCTGGAAAAAAACATTACTGTCTTTTGTTTTTTACTCTTCCGTTATGCGGGTGAGTTTTCAAGAAGCCCGCCGGAAGCTTCTGGAACGATACCAACCGGTACATCCGCGGCCGTGAAAACATCATCGACTTTATCGATTCAATTTTAATCTCAAGGAAACAATTCTTACAAATTCTAATTTTGTTAATTTTGCAAAAATGCAATGAAGGTTACAGAAAAGTTTAAGATATGTAAGTCGACATTTTCTATATTTATAAACGTTTGGCAATATAGCAAGAGATTTCTTTAAAACACACCTGATCGATTTGATCGATTCAATTTTAATCTCAAGGAAACAATTCTTACAAATTCTAATTTTGTTAATTTTGCAAAAATGCAATGAAGGTTACAGAAAAGTTTAAGATATGTAAGTCGACATTTTCTATATTTATAAACGTTTGGCAATATAGCAAGAGATTTCTTTAAAACACACCTGATCGATTTGATCGATTCAATTTTAATAATCTCAAGGAAACAATAATTATTCTTACAAATTTTAATTTTGTTAATTTTGCAAAAATGCAATGAAGGTTACAGAAAAGTTTAAGATATGTAAGTCGACATTTTCTATATTTATAAACGTTTGGCAATATAGCAAGAGATTTCTTTAAAACATACCCCAATGTAAGTACACAAATTTTTTTATTTAAAAAAAAATATAAATTCAAGGACATAAATATTTGAAACTCTTTCCCATAAAATAACAAAATACTGTCCCATAAAATAATAAAATCTAAAAAATTTCTAAAGAGACTGTACTTGTCTTCCGCAAAATTTTTAAACGTCCCTCAACGTAATTTAGCGAGATTCTCCTGTCAATGAAAATATAATCACTTGAACGAGCAATTTCGTTTGACGTAACAGAACACAAAAAGTCTTTCAAGCTGATGGTGTTTTAAGACCGACATCGAATTTTGCTGAACACCGAACAAGAAAAAAGAAACCGCTGATCAAATAAAGGATATTGGTGCGGTGACGAAGAGGTTCGTATCTCGAGATGCTTTTTTCGTAGACATCTGCCCATCGAAAGGATACCTGTAATTTATTTGACCGTGGATTAAACTTCAGAATCATCCATCAAATTGAAACCTTTTTTTTGGATTCTTTTCTCTCGCGATGTCAGGTATAACACCGGTAAACACGCGAAAAATGATTTTATTTAAGGATAAATATTCTGAATGGTGGCTTGTTTAATGTGAGAGATTTGTCACTTTTATTTTAGGTTTACTGTTTTTTTAGTTTTTGAGTTTGGAATTTTAGAAATTTGTAAGTATGGGAATTTTCAAATAGCAAGTTTTCGAATATTAAGTTGGCAAGATTATAAATTGTCAAGTATACAAATTATAAAAGTCACAAATTTTTAAATGTATAAATTGTCAAAGTCACAAACTCTCAAATTTACAAATTCTCAAATATACAACTTATCAAAGTCACAAATTTTCAAAGTTACAAATTCTCAAAATCACAAATTCACAAATGTATAAATTGTCAATGTCACATATTCTCAAATTTACAAATATTCAAGTATAAAAATTCTCAAAGTTACAAATTCTCAAGTATAAAAATTCTCAAAGTCACAAATCCTCAAAATCACAAATTCACAAATGTATAAATTGTCAATGTCACAAATTCTCAAATTTACAAATACTGAAGTATAAAAATTCTCAAAGTTACAAATTCTCAAATATACAACTTGTCAGAGTCACAAATTCTCAAATATACAACTTGTCAAAGTCACAAATTCTCAAAATCACAAATTCACAAATGTATAAATTGTCACTGTCACAAATTCTCAAATTTACAAATTCCCAAGTATAAAAATTCTCAAAGTTACAAATTCTCAAATATACAACTTGTCAAAGTCACAAATTCTCAAAGTTATAAATTCTCAAAATCACAAATTCACAAATGTGTAAATTGTCAATGTCACAAATTTTCAAATTTACAAATACTCAAGTATAAAAATTCTCAAAGTCATAAATTCTCAAGTATAAATGTTCTCAAAATCACAAATTCTCAAATTAACAAACCTTCAAAGTCACAAATTCTCATATTAACAAACCCTCAAAGTCACAAATTCTCAAATTAACAAACTCCCGAAATCCTAACTTCTCACCTCACAAATTGCGAAACGCACAAACTCCCTATGCCAAACATACACTTCCAAATTTACAATTTTTCAAAAATTAAAAATTGAACAAAAACCTAAATTGCAATCAGCCTCAACGCGTGAGCCGCAGCGAACATGTCAGCGTTCCTTAACGGAACAACTTTCCCAACAATCGATAACTGAAAGAGCGTGAAATGAGTGATGAAATGAAGCGAATTTCATGATTTTGCTTGTTAACGTTTCACCGTCGAGCGTAACACCTCAGAAAGTGAATATGTAAAAGGCTGGTAGCATAACCGGCGTTGTGATTATTTTATTTTTTACACAACGAATGAAAACTTTTTAACGCTTCCTATGTTATGCATTTAGTGACTCGACATTTCCATAATATTTGCGTTACGATAGATAAAGTTTATTTTCTTCGTGGTTACGGGTTTTATCGCTACTGAATGATGTTGCATGTAGAGGATGATTCATTAACTCCATTGTAATGGTACCGTGTGTGTATCGCTGATATCTGATCATCTAAGCGTTTTTTGTCAGATTTATAATTTATTTGGACTCGTTTATCGCCGTTTGTAATACACAGTCTACATACATTATGTATTAGGTGATGTACAATTAGTCATTTTTATTTTAAATAAAATTTTAAGTGGTATTTATAACAGTCAATATTACTAAATTAATCCACTTTATTTAAAAACTTTTTGTATTTCTAAATTTTCATAAAACAATTTAAACAAAGATATACAGTTTAAAACGCGTTCAAAACTCCCGCCATTTCTTTAACAAAAGTAAAATATTTAACCTTTAATACTCATCAAAAAACTATTCACCTAAATTAGTAATTATTCCTTAATTTAATCCTTAAACTCGTAAATTTTATTGTCAGAGTCATCTGTACCTTCATATAATTTAAAATGTTATAAAACAATCAATACAGGTGCCTATAATTCAAAGGACGTTCGAAACTCCCGCCATTTCATTAACAAAAGTAAAATATTTAGCTTTTAGTACTCGTCAAAAAACTACTCATCTAAATTAGCAATCATTCCTTAATTTAATCCTTAAACTCGTAAATTTTATTGTCAGAGAGTCATCTGTACCTTTATATAATTTAAAATGTTATAAAACAATTAATACAAGTACCTACAATTTAAATGCGTTCGAAACTCCCGCCATTTCTTTAACAGTAAGATGTTTAACTTTTAAGAGTTTCATCAACTGCTCATCTAAATTGGCAATTAGTTTGCGTAATTTAATCCTTAGGAAACTCGTAAACTTTATTTGCAGAGATAGGTACAATGAACGTACGAACTGGGACGTTTAATTTTATTCAAGGTTCTACATAAATTAATAATTACGGCTCAATGTCGTTACCGATCGAACGAATGACGTTGCTCAAATTACGCAGGACGGCCTTTCCGTTCTCGTGAAGAAAAACCTTCCTTCTCCGGTCAAAAATATTTATCCGTGGATTTTATTAAGGTGTTCGAAACAGAAAGGTAATGCACGATTTCAAATCAAAATGTATAACGTTGTCAGTCATTGACGACATGTACGCACGTGTGCCAGGTGACTCAAAGCGTAAACAAACGTTCGAAGATAATTACGGTTAAAAAATAAATTCTACAAGCGTCCATGATTTAATGTGCTGCTCGTTGACAGACATGGGAATGTCATATTTGCTAACTAATTGATAAAAATCTGTTTTTAGACGCTTCGATCGTTTACGACAATACGGGAACGTCATTGGGAATTTCGAGGTTAAATCACTTTTAATTTACATTTCAATTTTAGTTTGTTTTACTTCTTAATTCTTCTTCTTTCACGTTTTAGGTAACCAGAATTTAAATACGAATTGATAGGACTACAAACTGAGATAATAACAGAGAAATGTTACTTTAGAAATATAACCTGCAAATACCTGACCAAGTGAATAAAAGAAATAATAAAAAAAATTAAAAAAGGTGTAATATATACTATTAACTTATTAATTTTATTTAATGTTCATTTAAGTTTCTTTTAAAATTTTAAATTGTATTTCAAAGTATTTTTATTATTTGATACACATGCACATGCTATGAATGTTTTTAATTCAATATAATTAAGCAAGTAGTAAACAAAAACATGTGACATTAAAGTCGCACAATATTAACATTCTAATAAACATGTAGATATCTTGAATAAATGGGTACTTTTTGTACCATAAAATTGATAGACTTAACAGACCAATTTTTTTATGTTTTGGATCCTATTTGCTATGTAAACAACGAGAACGATACATGGGCGATATAAGGTGTTCGCAAAGATGGTGTCGGCGAGTTGAAAACACGGGATGACGGTTTCTAATAACGGAAACGGAAAAATACAGAGTTTCACCGGTCGTTTCACTAATTGTCCATCTCGCGACAGCTCAACATTTATTTAAGTAACTTTCAAGGTGTGTTCTTCCAGAAGCTTCGAGTGTTTTCTTAACAATAAATAAAAGGTTATACTACGTCCAACGATACGCAGTTGGTGATTCACCGATATTAAATATTTACGTTAAAACAGCTTCCAAGCAAGTTTTTTTTCTTTCATATCCGACTTGTGTTTATACTATTCTGACATTAAGTTTGATTGTGAAGTATAATGTAAAGTAAAATCTTTTTTGCTGTTTGCAAAAATTGTGTTTGAGAACTATTTTTGGAATTATATTATACAGTAATAAAATTAAAAAATAAATATGTACTTTTTGTAGGAAATGTGTACTTTAAAATTATATATTAAATTAATGAATAAATAGGATAAAGAAATAGGATTCAACGAAAGGAGAGTGCATCAACTTTTGTAATACACATAAATGATGATAATTGACAGATTAAAATTGATAGATTAATTAATTAATTAAAGATATATATAAATTTATAGATTTTTAAATATCAAATGTTCTAAATTCTTATTCAGAAATATCTGTTCTGAAGTTTCTAGATATGGATATTTTTATTTCTGTATATTTGTAAATCTATAAAGCTGTAAATTTCTAAATTTGCAAATGTTTAAATTACCAATATTTTTAAATCTAAATTTCTAAATCATAAAATCTTCTAAATCAATTCTCTAAATTTCCTAAAATGTGATAAAATACTAGAGTGATTAAACACTTGTCTACATTAGTGCATATTAAAACATACAAAATTAAAAAATGTTTGACTCCTATAATTCCAAGAAGTATTAAAATATTAAAACAATAAAGTTAGTGGAATTTTTACATTCTAAAATTAGCACCAGTAAGTGTTACACGCATGAAAATAAAAATATCGAGTTTTGTTAACCATAAATTACAAATATTTAGAAAGCAACCGTTCTAAGCTGCCTTCACGCCAGCAATTTCTACTCGTTCGAATCGTTAATTAAATTACGCAACGTATTCCCGATTACAGTAATTTTTTCCCGGAGGAAATGAGAGAAAAAACGCGAACTATAGAATTATCGACTACAAAGTAACATTTATACCAGGAATATCCGTGCACCGGTTGACAAATCGAAATAAATTTCATTCGCGGCAATTTTTACCGCGAACAGAAAAAGAAAGTCACGAATACATTGAACTTTGATTTATCGCCTCGTGAATGACTAGAAAATAATTCCTCGAATTTCTGAATCGTTAATTAAATCCATGATCGTCAACTTTTGCAAAAAAGAAACACCGGTTTCCAGTTAATCGAGCCTTGAATGATCAATTACAAAGTTATCTTTGTACAAGAAATTTCTACATACTCCATCATTAATCTCGCTATCTAATGAATCGTTAATCGTAGCAACCTTTATGGAAACAGACATTCATAGAAACGAGCGAACCTGTATTACGCCAAAGTCATTTAACTCTGAATAATCGATCACGATTAAACAAGCTTTTTTTCTTCTGTTATTATCCTTGTTCAAGGAATTTCTTCTGCGTATCTTCCGTAACTTGTTCCTCGCGTGAAGAATCGAACAACGATATTTAAATGAAGCAATGATTACGGACGACGCTGGATGTCGCCCTTTGAGTGAAAAATTGAGGGTTAAGTCAAAACACGGTACATCGATTCTCAACTATTAAGGCAAGTATACAATGGAGGAATATTTAGACGAAGAGTAGATATAACAAGAGGTGACACTAGACAAGAAAATTAACCGCCTAGAGGGAGACAGAGGACACAACCAATTTAAATACCCAAATCAAAAGAATTGTGTATTATTTTCTTTTTCAACTTTTCAACGCACTAAAATTGATAAAAATACCTTAAAAGACAATATTAGTAATATACAGAAAATTGATCATAGATATATTCAAAATTATTGGAGACTGACGTGAAAGTAGATTTGCTCGATTTAAATTTCCCGCTTTGCACAACCAATTTAAAGTTGTCTGGTTTACTCTGTGATGTAGAGACTGTTTTAATTCTGTTACTATTATTAATAGATATTTATTATTACTATTTGTATTGTTAGTGTCATTACTATTCGTTCCATTCTTATTTAATTAATTATCAATATAAATATTTGTGTTAACATTATAGGTATTTAATTATCGTTGTAAATATTTAAATTAACTGGTATTAACATGGCATTATTATCAGAACGTATAAAAAAGCATAACTAATAGTTCATGTATCAAATGTCAGTGAAATTAAATATTGAGAAAAGTGGTATTGAATATAAGTGCGCAATGCGCATGCGTTGTACATATCGCGCGCATGCGCAGTATAAACATTCTAGAAGAAAAGATTCTTTTACTTCTTTTCGATAAATTTAATTTTAATAACTTTTTAAAATAACTTTAATTTTAACAGTATTTGAATGTTGTGCAATCAGAAATAGATTTCGATTAATTTTTTGGCGCTCCAAGCGATTTAAAATAAAAATTATTTCAAGAAATATGGTGATTTCAATGCCTGGAAGAGAAGTTTACACGCGAAAACAAACTTTAGGTAATTTAAATTAAATATAGACGAATAGAGTCAATCAAAATACTTTGATTTGTATTATTTTAATATGAAAATAAAATCTTACGCTATTTTGACAAATTTCCAAATTCAGTTAATAGTAAATGTGCATTAGAATTTAGATAGACTTCGATCATTTATTTTGGCGCGCTTTCAAATCTTATTAATAGCTAAACGTGTTTTAGATTTTAGAGTTACTTAAATCAGTATTATTGCCAAGTTTTCAAGCCTGATTTATTTTACCCAAACGTGTATTAAACATTAAAAATTTACACTCTTTTACTGGTTTAACTTATTTATGTATTTTATCACATTTTCAAATTTAACTAATTGTGTCCATATGTACTAAATTTGAAAGTTGCATATTTAAGCCAGTTTTATTACCAAGTCTTCAAACTTGATTTACTGTATCAAAGTGTGTATTAAACATTAAAATTGTACACTTTTTTACTAGTATATGTGTACTAGTTTCTACTATACTAGTTTTACTCACTTATATATTTTACATTTTTTTTTAAATTTAATTAATTGTGTCCCAGTATAAATTTACAATGTATAATATACACCTACATAATGTATATCTACATTAGTTATATTGCCACAATAAAACTTGATTAACCAAATCAAAAAGAAGTAAAAATATTTTGAAAATTGCAAGAATCTGTATTTTCAAAAAAACTCACCTCGAAAGAGGGTCGACGAAGAGAGCCACAATAATAACTGCGATGATTACACAAGTTAGATAAATCGCAGAAATTTCGTAGATCTCCGATTCTGGAGGACGTTCCAGGGTCTCATGGCCGCCATTTCCAACGACACAGAAATCAGCACCGCACAGTTTTATCTTGTTCCAGTTCGTGGTGCTGTTTCCCTTACCGCTGCCAAATTCTCCCTCGCTGAGTACTTGAAAAAAACAAAGACAAAAACTTAATAAAATTAATTTATCAAAATAAATATTATTTGGAAATTTAGGGATTGAGAAGTTTTAGAGTTTGGAAATTTATGGATTTAGGAATTTTAGAATTTGCAAATTTAGGAATTGAGAAATTTTAGAGTTTGCAAATTTAAGGATTGAGAAGTTTTAGAGTTTGGAAATTTAGGGACTGAGAAATTTGAGAGTTTGGAAATTTAGGGATTGAGAAGTTTTAGAGTTTGGAAATTTAGGGACTGAGAAATTTGAGTTTGGAAATTTAGGAATTGAGAAATTTGAGAGTTTGCAAATTTAAGGATTGAGAAGTTTTAGAGTTTGGAAATTTAGGGACTGAGAAATTTGAGAGTTTGGAAATTTAGGGATTGAGAAATTTTAGAGTTTGGAAATTTAGGGATTGAGAAGTTTTAGAGTTTGGAAATTTAGCGATTTAGTAATTTTAGAATTTGTGAATTTAGTGATTGACACATTTCAGAATTTGAAAATTTAGCGATTTAGTAATTTTAGAATTTGTGAATTTAGTGATTGACACATTTCAGAATTTGGAAATTTATGGATTTAGTAATTTTAGAATTTGTGAGTTTAGTGATTTGATTAACTAGAGATTTGATAATTTAAGAACTCGGAAGTTTAGGAATTTTGCAATCTAGGGTTTTTATTAATTAGAAATTTTGTAATTTAGGATTTTGATCAATTACCGATTTGGTAACTTAGAAATTTGGCAAAACAGAAGTTTAGAAAATTTAAAAATTTAGGAAGTTTAGGAAATTTCGGAATTTGATGAAGTAGAGATTTTACAATATAATTATGTACTTTGATATTTGACAATTGAAAAATTCGAAAATTTCAAATTTTTGTAATGTAATATTCCAGTCAATTAAAAACTGTGCAAGTTAATTTGATAGCTTTAGAATTTATCAAACCACAATCACAGATCATAAAAACTAAATTTCTAAACTACCACTTATCTAAATCTAAAAATTCATTATTTCAACTTCCTATTCCCAAACTTTCCATCACTCCATATCTCCAAATCTCCAAATCCCCAAACATCCAAAAATATCTCTAAAAAAATACCATAATTTTAATACCTCTTTACCAACAATCAAAGATAATTATCTGAAACTGATAAAACACTCAAAGCACACATAAAATGTGAAATCGTACTTAAAAACGGAAAAGACAAAAGCCTATTATGAACAGTTTATCAACAACATGATATTATCTTGCGTGTTAACTAGATCTTGATAATATTAAATCGTTCTTCAATTTCGTCGCTCTTAAATTAATAATAATGCTAGTGGTTATCGCAGATAAGATGTTAGCCCTACTTTCTGTTGTACTCGGTTACTTCAATTGAACGCGTTATACAAACTCTAAAATTTCTCAATTCCTCAATTTGCAAATTCTCAAATTTTTCAATCCCTAAATTTGCAAACTCTCAAGCTTCCCATCCCAAAATTTCCCAACTCTCAAGCTTCTCAATCCCAAAATTTCCAAATTCTCAAATTTTTCAATCCCTAAATTTGCAAACTCTCAAATTTCTAAATCCCCAAATTTCCAAACCCTAAAATTTCTCAATCCCTAAATTTTCCAACTCTCAAACTTCTCAATCCCAAAATTTCCAAACTCTCAATCTTCTCAATCCCAAAATTTCCAAATTTTCAAATTTCCAAACCCTAAAATTTCTCAATCCCAAAATTTCCAAATTCTCAAATTTTTCAATCCCTAAATTTGCAAACTCTCAAACTTCTCAATTCCAAAATTTCCCAACTCTCAAGCTTCTCAAACCCAAAATTTCCAAATTCTAAAATTTCTAAATCCTCAAATTTCCAAACTCTCAAATTTCTTAATCCCTAAATTTGCAAACTCGTAAATTTCTCAATCCCAAAATTTCCAAATTTTCAAATTTCCAAACCCTAAAATTTCTCAATCCCAAAACTCTCAAACTAAAATTTGTCAATCCCAAAATTTCCAACTCCTCAAATCACCAAACTCCATAAATCTAAAAATCCAAAAATGCTCAGAAATCTCAATAAAATTAAAACTTTCTGCAATTTGAAAATAAATCTCCAAACTTCCAAATTTAAGATTTATAATTTTAAACCTTAAAAACCTTTAATAATCTGAAAATTTATAAACTCTGAAAAAATATAAAAATTTCTACTCTTCTCTTCTAAAAAATATGATATTGATTCAATCGAGACATCATTAAAATTAATATCAGATTCAATTAAGACATCCTTAAAAAAGTGTCAAGATTGAATAGTTACGTGTGAACCCAACAGCCTGAGGTTAATTAATTTTCAGTTTTGTCTTGCTAAGAATCCAGTCAGTCTACTTAACCAGACAATTGGCGGACTAAACATTATACAATAGCACCATCGATGACGCATACTGAACATTTCCATTGAAATTACGTTTTCTAATGAATTGCTCATACGGTACCGGTCGGTTATCTGTCACCGACTTACAAACGTACGAAAGATTACCATTCGAAAATTGTTTATTATGTATACAAAAGAATGCGTTCAATATTGATCGGAATAATTATAATTTATTAGAGATATTGTGCAAATTCGTTGACCAACACAAGTGTACGTTTTGTAAATATAAGGTTTTACAAATTTTGTTAAGAAATAGAGGAAACAAATATTATTTGTTTATAAGATTTGTTACTTTTAGATTATTTATAAGATTTGTTACTTTTTATTTTGTAATTTATTTAAAAATATTAAGTGTGGAATATAGAATACAAAATGTGAAATATAAAATGTGAAATATGAAATGTGAAATATAAAATGTGAAATATAAAATGTGGAATATAAAATGTGAAATATAAAATGTGAAATATAAAATGTGAAATATAAAATGTGAAATATAAAATGTGAAATATAAAATGTGAAATATAAAATGTGAAATATAAAATGTGAAAAATGTGAAATATGGAATATAAAATGTGAAATATAAAATGTGGAATATAAAATGTGAAATATAAAATGTGGAATATAAAATGTGAAATATAAAATGTGGAATAAAAAATGTAAAATATAAAATGTGAAATATAAAATGTGAAATATAAAATGTAAAATGTAAAATATAAAATGTAAAATATATAATGTAAAATATAAAATGTAAAATATATAATGTAAAATATAAAATACAAAATATAAAATATAAACTATGAACTGTAAAATGTAAAATATAATATGTAAATATAATAAAATATAAAATAAATGAAATAAATAAAATAGAGAATTTTAACAAATTTGTATCTTTTATAATTTTTTAACAAAATTTGTAAAATGTTGAATTTTTAAAAAGAACAATAAAAGAATGACATATTGATGATATAATTAAAATTGTAAGCAATAATTTTATTTACAGAAAAATATTGATTATACTATATTAAATTTAAAATATAGTGCTTAAATCTTATAGTGAGCCAATATAATGGTTCCTCTAATTGAACAAATTCAAATTCAACATGCCGCATAATTTTTCACCCTAATTTTTGCTCAAATTTCTTCAGATTTACCCAAATTTCTCCTATTAATGTTTACTACAATTTTTCTTTAATACAAATTATTTCCATCAAGTTTTTGAATAAATAAAAATAAAAAAAAACATAATTTATTTAACTTTATTAAACAAGACATAACTACAAATACCAGAAAGACACTTTTTAATTTCACTTAAAAGATAAAGAATCTTGAAATTCATTTACTATTCTTTTTATTGGAGTATAAATTTATTAAGACTTGAGGTAATTATATAAATCTCCCATAAATACCTAAATTGAAAAATTAAATGAATCATAAAGTTTATCATCTAACATTATTTTCTTGTGTATGTAAACGAGATTAATGTAGCCATTAAAACATTTAACAAATTTATGAATTAATAATAATAATATTCATTAAAATTGTCAAGTTTGTACATGCCTCTTCCATAACAAGCATTCCATGCAGTTTCTTCTCACTCCGATGCAAGATTTAGTTTCTTGTTACAGAGGAATGTATAGACTTTCAAACATTCTTACTTTCATTTACATTGCGACAAAAAGTATATACATCTCACTCTAAATCTTGTGAACAATAGATGTAAATCGAACACAATCTCACATTTATATAAATAAGCAGTAATAATTAAAATGTATTCTTTATGTATTCTAAAATTTTCAAAGTTATAAACATTTAAATTAATGAATAATCGATTTTCAATTCTTCGTACATTTAAATTATTGTAGTTTCAAAGTTTTATATTTTCAAGGTTTAGTATTTTCACATTTGTAAATATCTAAATTTTCACAAATTTCAATTTTTCGAGTTTTCAAGTTTTCAAGTTTTCAAATTTTCAAGTTTTCAAGTTTTCAAGTTTTCAAGTTTTCAAGTTTCTAAGTTTTCAAGTTTCTAAGTTTTCAGTTTTCAAGTTTTTAAGTTTCTAAGTTTTCAAGTTTCTAAGTTCTCAAATTTCTAAGTTTTCAAGTTTCTACGTTCTCAAGATTTCAAGTTTTCAAGTTTTCAAGTTTTTAAGTTTTTAAGTTTCTAAGCTTTCAAGTTTCTAAGTTTTCAAATTTTCAAGTTTCCAAGTTTTCGAGTTTTCAAGTTTCCAAGTTTCGAAGCTTACAAGCATTCAAGGTTTTGAAGGTTTCAAGTTTTCGAGTTCTCTGGTTATCAGGTTTTCAAATCTCCAAGTTTTCAATTCGTTAACTTAATATATTTTCAAGTTGTCATGTAATTAAGTTGTTAATATATCAATTTATCAATTTAGCAATTTGCCAATTTGTCAATTCGTCAATTCTTCAATTTTTCAGTTCTGCAGTGTTTCAATTTTTCAATTCTCCAATGTTTCAATTTTTCAAATTTTTCAGAATCTCACTGTCGTATCATAAAAGATTCCGTCTGCCAACTCAGCAGAAACGCGGTGCACTCACAATCGCCACAAAATAATTTCTACCAAAGCAACATCCAAA